AGGCTCCCCTGTCTGTGTGTTTATTCTCGCTCGCTGTTTTACTGCTGTCCTTTTAAGGATCGCACAATAAGAGTCTGCTTAAAACTACACTTTGCAGTCAGCCTCATGATCTCTTCTCCACTCTAATGGGAAATCAAAATTTTATTTATTCGACCGGCATCGTATGTATACTTTATTATTAAATCTCGACAACAATCTTTCATTTGTCGCAGCATCCAATGAATATTATTCCGTTAATAAGCTGGCAAGTTGTTTCACTGCTGGCATCAGCGAAATTAGAAAATACTATCGGTTATGGATTGAATTTTTTGGGTATGCAGAAGGTATGGACGCGATAGCCCATCCCACTTTCACTGAGGTTACAGTGCCAAAGTCTGTGGTTCTGTGCTGGAGATGTTTTTTATGGCCCTGGGCCATTATGCGTGGGACCAGTGCCGGATTGGGAAAAAGTCCTGCACCGGCATCACGCTAGTGGAAATGAGGCATAAGCAGGGCCATTTTAGCAGGTGTGTGGCTCGAGCACAGCTTTCATAATTTGCAATGGATAGCATTCAGTTAATGGTACGGCATGGGTACAGCTCGATTCTTGGTAGCAGTGTAAAAACACCATATAATACAATACTGACTTAATTTCATTATTGCGTGACCCATAGCCGGAAGATTGACTTTTGTCATTCATGATCTCTGTCGTTAAGTGAAATAGGAAGCCTGTCTTAACCACTGGGACCTTTCAAAATGCTTTTGTCACCCTCCAAGAGTCATTTACTTGATACATCCGAAGGCCAAAGTTTTAGCCTACATAGCAGACTATAGAGACAATTGCTTTTCAAATAAAACCAGAGAAAAACTAATCCCACTGGTTTCATACCCTGCTCTCGCTCTGCAGGTTTTTCTAGTTGGGATCCTCACTATCGCAGGCATGATAAGAGAAAGCTCTGTTCTCTCATGTATTTTAAAATCAAAGAACGCCGACCTGCATCAAGCCATATGTCTTTCTCGGTGGTTGTCATTAGAAGTTTGACGTTATGACCTTGAGCAGTTGTTTTTTGTTAACGTCTGTTTCGGGTTATGCTCTGCCATGTGGTCTGTATCACATCTCCTCACTTCCTGCTCTGCTTCCTGCCCACGCGGGAAGGGTCACGGAAAAACAACGTCCCGGTGCTGATGTTCCTTCCCGTCCTGCGTTTTGCGCTCCTGCAGACGGGGAGCCCGAAGGACATGGGTTAAAGGTGGTTTTACTTTTGTTTGGGCACATTTGTTTTAAAACATTACTTGAATATATTTAGCTTTCTTAGAGTCTTGATGACTGCTGTTTTTGTTTCATTTTATTTGTTTGTTTTATGTATATATATACACTCATATTATTCTTTGTTTTTATTACTATTACTTTTTTTCTTCCTATTTTTTCTAGCCTCTATTTAATTCCTTCACTGCTTTCTGTTTTGTTCTTCTCCCTGCTTAATCTTATGGTTATTTTACTTTTACTGTTATTTTACCGTTTTTATTTTAGTGCATTTGTTGTGAGAAATGCATGTTACAAATACAATTTATTATTATCAAAGCCATGTGCAACATCCTGGGTGTTGTTATAAAGCAAATCCTGTTAAAGGGCTAATCTTTTTTAGATGTGAAGCCAGCAAACAATGAAGCCAATTTCTTTATTATTGTTGCACAATGATCTTCACAAGAAGAGATTATCTCAGGCAAAAGAGAACTGTTATCCCATATTCTCCAGTATAAATGTAACATAATGGGCACTCTTTTCTCATTACTGGGGCTGAATTGTGTGCTGTTCGCACCTATTTACTAATTTACTATGGACGGATATACTCCTAGCCCTGTGTATCACATCTGTAATCCTCAGCCTACTGTGTGTAATGGTTTCTTGTCCTACTTTTGAATTGAACAGGATATTAATTCAGTGTCTTGCATGTTTCAAATCACATAACAGAATGTGTTAGAGATTTAATTGCATTAATCAAATACAACTGCTATGCATGATGATTGAAAAAATCCCATAAGACCATAATTGAAAAATTAAATTTCTTTATCTTGGGCTCTCTCCCTATTTTTATTTAGCCGACACTCTCTAGTGCAATGCAGACGTGAGCCAAACTGGTTGTGATGATCAGAAGGTTGCCGGTTCGATTCCAACCTTGGCAAAATAGTCACATGTCCATGGGCCCTTGAGCAAGGCCCTTTACCCCCAGCTATCTGGGTGCCCCAAGGTGGTTGCTCCTTCACTGTGACCCCCACGCTTGCTTTTACCTGTTTGGAGAGTAAGGTCGGGAGAATTGCCCCATCGGGATTAATAAAGTATCATTATTCCATTGTACATTGCAAACATACAGCTGTCAAGGAAGCAACTAGGCTTAAATGCAGCTAGGTTGAGCTTCCAGTGAATACCTAGTAAAGCATAATTTATATTTTAACAAGAGCTATATAATGCATTTCAAACTTCGCAAGAACCTAACTAGAATATTAAATTTAAAAAAGTCCAATATTAAGAATGTTGGGGCAGCATGGTGACGCAGTGGTTATTAAATCTAAATTGACCTTTTAGCTGTGGTGCAGTGATGCTGCCATAACTGTACAGTGTGACAGTGCATCATGGGATTCTCCACTACAGGATCTGTCTGCTGTTTGGGCGGATAGCACAAGGACAGTTGCTGCTTCCTAAAATTTTGTTCTGCTTGGTGGTCTGGTGGTGAAGACAGGGCTACAAAACTTCCTGCTCTCCAAGAGGGGGTGTCAATATTGACAATTTATGCAGATCCCAGCACCCTCAACCCATAGCTCTTACTTATTTATGTTTGTCTGGCAGTGCAGTAAATTTTACCCAGCATGCACTTCACCAGTAGGGGTCTTGACCACTCTGTGTCCAATCTCCATAGCCTTCTGTGCTTCATAATGCCTTTATTCTTCTGCCTTGGCCTGAGTCTGCAGATACAGCCTCCCATTGTGTGGGGGGGTCAGTGCTGATAGGAGAGACATTCAGATGTGTGCGCGAGAAAGCATATGTACAGCACAGATGCACGTCTACATCAGCAGTTCCTATCTGGAGTAACCTTCTATTAAATGGCTCTTTGTCACTCAACATCATCTGTTGATCACTGACACGGCATTTTATGCGTACAATTGACAATTTTAAGGAATACATTTTCAATTTCTAAATTAAATTAATTGATACAGGAGTCAAAGTATGTAAAAAAGTGAATTTATTTCTATTACAGTCAAGTTTAGTGGGCTGAGTGGTACATTTTGAACCCCTGGATTTCGATGGTCAGGTGTCCATCTTGAACCAAGATTTGGTTCATGTCTGGGCCTTTGTTTCCTCTCAGTGGGCCCATCGAGCTCGCTTGGGGAGAACTTGACTATTAGCTCAGAGTTGTTATAATCTTATCTAGTTCTGATTTAAAGGAACCCAAGGATTCAGCTTGCACTACGTTATCAGGAAGACTATTCCATACTCTGACTACACGCTGTGTAAAGATGTGCTTCCTTAAATCCAATTTGAAATGTCCTACTAATTTCCACCTATGGCCACGAGTTCTTGTATTTGAACTAATGCTGAAGTAACTTCGGTTGAACAGCATCCAAACCTGTTAGAATCTTATAGACCTGGATCATGTCCCCCCTCAGTCTCCTTTGCTTGAGGCTGAACAGATTTAGCTCAACTAACCTTTCCTCATATGACATTCCTCTAAGACCAGGAATCATTCTTGTGGCCCTACGCTGCACCTTTTCTATGGCCGCAATGTCCTTTTTAAGATATGGTGACCAAACCTGCACACAATATTCTAGGTGAGGTCTCACCAAGGAATTGTATAATCTTAGCATTACCTCCCTTGACTTACATCTCCAGGTGTGTGGAGTTTAACCCAACATCCTATTGGCCTTTTTTATTGCTTCCCCGCACTGGTGAGAATGAGACATGGAAGCATTAAGTGATCCAAAGCAACATATGTTTCTTTGAGAAAGCAGGGTTAGACAGTCCCTGGGGCAATTGGGGGTTATTGGCCTTGTTCAAGGGCTGAACTGTCAATGCTCCCATTTTGATACAGCGGGCTTATGGAAGATTTACATAAAACTAATGACAGGTTTATTACCTCAAAACTTTTTCTGTCTGAAAAGTCACCCTCCCACCTTAGACTACCCAGACATTGACTTGACATGGCTGTGTCACCCACAGAACATGAGGGGGGAGGAGAGAATTGAAAGCCATCTTTTTGGACCTCATCTCCCAAAGCACGACTTTGCTGTAATGTGATCCTAGTAGGAGTGAGATCATACCCGGAGTTTTCCAAAAGATCCCACCCTGAAATGTCTCTGTAATTTTCTCCTACGAGAGCACAGTCAGCCTGAGCCCCTCACAACCCTGAGGCATTTAAAGCCCTGACTTGGTGGCTGTGTGTTTTCAGCGAGGAGTGCTGGGCTTGGCCCATGCCTCTTGGGAACATGTCCCTGTTGTGTGGAAATATCTCCTGGGCCTCCAGTCACCCTGCTAGCTGGGGGAGAGTCTGAGGCGACTGTTTGGGACGGGTGGGAAAAAGGGAGGATGGGTTTTGGGTGTCAGAGTAGCTGGATCAGATTATTTTTCGGGGGGAGGGGGGGTTGGGGGCTGGGTGGGAGTAGTGGAGACAACAGGCACTCAGGCATGAACATTTGGAGGAGAACATTCACAAGCGAAAGTCACACCCAGATGTCAGATTTCACACCTCCCTTGAAGCTGAGGGGAAATCCATGGGATGGGGGGGGAAGCGGGGGGTAGCACTCTGAAACTTTGTAGCACTTGCAGACCGTGCTGGATCTAATTAGTGGTCCTCCATTCACGAAATGTGTGAAGTCACAGCTTAAAGCCTTAAATCGATTTTCTTTGCAATTGAGCTACTCATGACTCATGACTCCTTTCAATAATGACCTGGAACATTTGGTAAGCGGAGCTGATGCACAGTATACCCATGCTCTCCCATTCATGGGTCCCCACACTCTCCCTGCAGATTCGCTCATGCACTAGCATGGATTGCCAGTAAGAGCCTTGGTTGTGCTGTTCCCGAATTTTGCCTGCGGCTAGAAGATGATGGACCCAGTGCAGCCCAGCGCGACCCAGATGGACAGCTGCGACAAAGAGATCGACCGGCAGTATGAGGTGGTTCCCGCTGTCATCTGCGCCGTGTGCTGTCTTTTTGGCATTATCTACTGCTTTTTCGGTAAGTTCCAAACCGACACAGACCCCTAGACTAACGTCAAAACCCAGTGGTCAGTCCAGGACTATGATTTCTTTTTGCAAGTGTCTACACTCTTTTTATACACTTGTGAGGCGATCTATTAAGTTACATTAGGATAGCATGAAGTTGCTAATGGTGCTTTTGATGGTTAATGAACAAAGAACATGTCTTGCTATTAGGCGCTTTCACACCAAAGTTCCGAAACCTGGTGCTGGTTTACAAGTCTCTGGGCTGTCTTGATCTGTGACTTCTGCAGTTCCTGACCACTTCCATGTTTGTGGTCAACCAATCAGCAAGCTGTCGCTGTAAGCATCTCCCCAGCAGTTTTTGTTTGAACTAAAAGTATCTGGGAGTAGCTACTAAAAAAGGTTCTGGAACTGCCTCTAAGGAGCTACAATCAGGCTGAGATCCTACGGTGTGAACATGGGAAAAAAAAACCCTGGTTCCGGAAAAGGTTGTGAAAGCACCTATTGTGTTTTCATTGAGAGTGTAATTATTGACTTGTGATTTTAATCCAGTTTTGGATGCCATTCAAAGGCTGTCCTTTGACTGTGTTTCCTAATGTTAGATCCATGTTGCTCACTCTTCCCTCCACAGGTTATCGCTGCTTCAAGGCTGTCATGTTCCTGTCAGGCCTCATGTTTGGCTCCATCGTCATCTTCCTGCTGTGCTACCGCGAGCGGGTGCTGGACACGCAGCTGAGCGTGGAGGCCAGCGCGGGCATCGGCCTGGGCATCGGCCTGCTGTGCGGCCTGGTCACCATGCTGGTGCGAAGTGTGGGCCTCTTTATGACCGGACTGCTGCTCGGACTCCTGATGGCCATCGCCACCCTGCTGACCGCCAGCCCCTTCTACATGCCCAGCTCGGTGTGGGTGCCGCTGGGGGCCCTGCTGGGTACCGGCATGCTGTGCGCCGTCCTCAGCCTGCAGTGGCAGAAGGTGTTCACGGTGCTCTCCACATCCGTCTTTGGAGCCGCCGTCATGACGGTTTGTGCGGACTACTTCGTGGAGATGCTAGTGCTGGTCATATATGTGTATGACTGTCTGCGACTGGAGCCTGTGGCGCCGCTCTGCTGGTACAGCTGGGTGATCCTGGGTATCTGGCCTGCCCTAAGCCTCCTGGGAGTCCTGGTGCAGTGGAAGCTGACCGCAGAGGGCTTCTCCCACACGGAGGGTGAGCGATGCCATGTCTACCTGCAGCCATTCCTTCGTTAACGATAGCATGTATCTGGCCAAAAGTATGCGGACATACCTATCACTTAGAGGAACTGCCTAATTGAGCCACACAGGTACATAATTAAGCACACAGTCACTCCTCAATCTTTTGCAACAAATGTTACCAGAAGAATGTTACAGAAGAGGTTAGTGACGTTCCATTTGGCACCATCAGAGGATGCCATCTTTCCAGCAAGTCAGGTTTTTCACATTTCAGCGCTGCTAGAGCTGCTCTGGTTAACTGCAGTTACGTGATTATGAAGGTAAAAATGATTGGAAGGAAGTTCACTTGTGAAGTGGCCGACCACACAGGATCACAGAAAGGGACCTGATCACCCAACATCAATACCTAACCTGAATGGCGGCAAATCCGGCAGTGTTCCAACACCCCCGGAAGCCCCCCCGGAAGAGTAGAGGCTATTATAGCAACAACGGGCTGACCAACTTAATGTTAATACCCTTGATTCTGATTTTGGCGGTGAAGCTGGTGTCCAAATACTTTCGGCCATACAGTGTACACATAAAAAAAGTTAAAAATAAAACTCTGTATTCTCCATTCTCCATATTCTGCCAAATCTTGAGGATATAGGCTAATGATCACTTCACAAATTACACAAATATTTGCTTTGTACCAACAACAAATATTGTCACATTAAAAGCACCCCCACCCCCCCAGTGGACCTTGTTAACCCACCCACTGGCAACTGCACCCGGACTTCAAGGTCCAAGGCCAAGCAGCGAGTTTTTCCTATCAGCGAATAAGAATCGATTGGCTTTCAGACGCCTGATGTTTTGCAGTCCTGCCATGCTGGTGACTGATCCTTGTGTCCCTCTTTCTCTTTCCTGGCCTGCCGTCCCCTCAGTCATAATCAGCAGGCAGCGGAAGCGCGTGCAGCTGATGCAGATCCGTCAGAACGATACCAAGAGATGTGAACAGGCAGGGGAGCGCGAGGGCTCCTACCAGCGGAAGCCCACACCTGTCAAGCGCTACGCTGGTGACCTCCTGGCACCAGTAAGTTCCCCTGATGCGGTTGGATGCTGCTTACGGTAGCGATAGTGTTACAGTTCCAAAGCAGTATTGTGTCAGATTGAAGCATGTAGTTATACCTGAAAGCCTAATTTCCACAGAAATTACGCAATTGTGTTCTTGTTTTGCACTTGTTTACCTGAGAGACTGATGCCTATCTGTTTGCTCTGTGAGATAGCCGATCCTGAGTGAGTCTCAGCCTTCAAATGCCTTCCCTCCTAACTCCCTCGTGCAGAGCTACCTGCGGAGCCTGCAGGACCGCCAGATGGGCACGGGCACCTCACTCAGCAGTCTTGGCACTGCCAACCATACCACCATCGACTTTGATTATGAGACCAGCTCCACCGTGCCCCTCACAGCCACTAGCCCTGCCATGCGGGTGTGACGTCCCCCCCCCCCCCCCCCCCCACCGCTTGCACGGTGCAGCATATTTATGGCATCTCCCAAAAGCCCAGCCCAGCACACCAGCACGTTCCCCATTTCCAGTACTGGGCCTTCAGCTGAGGAGGACTGAGATCTCAGCTTCTACAGCATTCCAGCGTTCTGGTATACGTGCTGTACTTTCCACATCAGTGGCCCATGCTCGTCTCCTGTGGAATCTCATAGCAGCGGTTTGTGCTCGGGAATCACAGGGAAAGCTCCGATAAGGACCAGCACAAATCCAGATTTACGGGATTGAATAACAGAGCCATAGAGCCGATTCTTACCCTGGTAAACAGAGAAGATGCATGTTGGGTCTCTTAAAACTTTGATAGGATACCAGGAGAATCTATATTTCTCACCATCTTCACTGACAGTTATCCTTCACATAATCTTTTTTGTAATAAAATGGTTTTTATGGATATGAAAATTGGAATCAATGGACTTGCATGTTTTTCTTTGAATACCTGATAAACAGATGAACTGACGTATTGACATGGACGTTCTCTGTCGGTTTGGTCTGTTGCCCGACACGATGCAGATTTGAAATACATTCTGTATATGTCTGGATTGTTTTTTCGTTTATGGTACACATGCAGAAGCCGGGCCTTCGCTGTGCCTGCCTGTCCCCACTGTCCCCAGCGAGGTGACGGCTGGGATGGCTCTGAGCCAGTCGTGCTTGCCAACGCTCCTGGGTGTGGCACGATGGATGCTGACCCTAATTTTATCGACTATCCTTGTGATAATCAGATGATTCGCTTCAAATACAAATGACCTCACCCTGAAGAATACCGGCAATCACAGAATGAGAAACCAGATAAATAGGAAAATAAATCAGTACTGTAAATATTAAATAAATTGTCTTTTTTTTCTAGTGCCTGACTGGACTTTCTGTGTCATGCTAGCTCCTGTGCTTTGCTTGTGGTTGCCATATCAGTTGTAGCTGACATCAGAAGTTGCCACATGGGAAAAGCTGGCATCATTAGGCATTGGCCGAGTCTGACACATTTAGGATTAGTGTGGTAAGAAGCAAAAACAGTGTCTTTGAATTACTTATAAGATAGGAGCTGGAGTTTAGTCACAACCAACGCAAAGCAGTCAGCTTCAGTAGGTTCTCCAGAGAACAGAGGCATGAATCATTTTGAAAAAAATGTCTAAAGATGAAACTATTAAAACAAGAAAAAAAAAGATTATTTCTTGCTATGATTTGCCTAACAATAACGTCCTGTTTCCCCCCTCGTTACCTAGCAACCAATCCTGCCAAAGGCAGTCTCAGAATGCCAATTAGAAGAGGATCTCAAAAGCAACAGTACCTCAGAGAGCTGCTCCTCATTTCTTATTGGTCATGCTGTTGGTTGCTGTGGCAGCTGAGACATTTTTTGCACATGGGTAAACTGCATGTGCAACTTCATTTTCATGTTTATAATTTAATAATTGCAGCTTCTCTGTACTTTTCTTCAGAGCAGACCAGTAAAAAACCTCTGAGTTTTCATAGTTAGTATCTTTAATTTGTTAAAAATGTAAGTGCATTTACACAATTATCCTGTAATCGCCATGTCAATCCATATAGTATTATAATTCACTATTTAGTGACAATATATTGTTACTAAATTACACTGTGTTCTATGTCCTGTACAAAGTTTAAAAAAATACTTGAATACTGAAAATGCATGAAAGGAGATACTATTGCTATTGGTACCATTAAAACTCCTGTTCACCTGTATCTGTTAAACAGTATAAAAGTCTTATTAACTTCCTGCTAATGTTCAGCATGGCACTAATTCACAAATTCCTGTAATGCCACATCTTAACCACTGGGGACAGTGTCTCATGATTTCACAAAGAGTCTTCAAACTTCAGGCACAGAGCCATATTGAGGCAAGAACTTTTGACTTCTTAATATTTCAGTGCTTAGAACAACCCCTAATGGAAAAGGTTCATGTTAATCGTCCAGTTATTGCATTTCTGTTCAGTGCATCAGATTTGTTGTGTCAAGTAGCACCAAACCGCTAAACTAAAATAGAGCTGTCATTATTATGCAACTGTCAGTGGAAAGCTTTTAAATGTTCTAAATCATTTCCTGAGACATATCAGACTCTGTTCTCTCTCCATGAGACTCAGCTGCACACTTCCCTGAAGTCACTTGCCACCTAGTGGCCTACTTGCTACACTGCATCCAGCGTTCCCACATGTTCAGAGGATAACCTCTGTCCACGTGCAGCTGGCTGTTGACACGCCAGTATTGGTCTCCCTTGAAGAAGTAGATCTTGCCATTTGTCCAGGTAAAGGCTGCATCGGGGTTGGATGGCACCCCAGTGATGATCTGCGAGATGGGTTTGGGGTAAACACTTAGGTCTGTATAAATCATCTCATCCCACTGCCAGTAATCTGAGCCCTGAGTTGGGAGAGAAGCATTCAGAACATTAGGACTGCAAACGATTAGCCAGAGTTCCGTATATTTATAAGCCATTTGTGATGCTGGGGGTTGTAGCTGCTGTTTCACTGTACCTTGAAAAAGAGCAGCTTCTTGTTGAGTTCAAAGTACAACGCTGAGTCAATGTTGGGGGGGATGCGGGTCAGCTGTTTGGGGTAGCCGTAGTCAAGATTGAAGTTTGAGTACCTCCACACTTTATCTCCTGCAGAGGCAGTGATGCCAGCATAGTCAACAGAGTTGGGTAAATCAGGTGCAGAGAGTATAAGTCCAGACCGGGATTTTGTTTCAACCAACCAGTTGAGCATAAAGAGTCACAGTCACAGAGTACTCAACTGGATGGTTGAAACAAAATCCCGGTCTGGACTTGAATTACCCAACTCTGATAGTCAAAGACGGATAAATGGGGTGAGCCTCTGCACTGTGAAATCCTTATGGCCACACATGATTGTGAACAGGGCAGGCGCAGCGACCTCTCATTAGAGCAGTCCAGGCATTCTAAGCTATCAGACCTTGCCTTCTCGCTCACTGGACAGCACTGCTTGCGATGGTACCTTTCAGAAAGTAGGTTTTGTTGGTTCTCCTGGAGTGGACCGCAGCATTGAGATTCCCTGGCAAGGTCTTCCAGAGCATGCTGATCTTGACTGGCGTGTTGTACCCATAGTCGGACACTGTCCACACATACTCCCCACTGAAAGCATAGATCTTTTGGTAGGGGCCTGAAATGGGAGAAATGGTAAACACACTGGCAGAAGAGTAAGAATGTAACAAAAGAATTAAATGTATGTCACAAATTACCAATCATTTATAAGACTGATTAAGGTCTGTATAAATACCAGATAAAATGAAAAACAATTCCTTAATGACAGGGACTAAATGGGAATTCAGTGCATTTACCTGCTGCATAAACAAAGAAATATATAACAAAAAAATTTCTAGAAAAGCAAGAAGAGAACTGATTGAAAGACTGCTTACATTCCCATCTGAAAAGAGCTCCTTGTAAAGACAAAACCACACTTCTCTCAACTGTCTGTAAACCAGACTTGGCATCAGCCTCGTGGTACATTTTTTAGCGGCTCGCACACTTTTTACTGCGAGTCCCACGGCCCATGCGCCTGTTTCCCTCACCTAACATGATTGCATCCAACTTCGCTGTGCAAGGATCTGGCTTTGTACCAGGCCTCACAGGGACAACCATCGTGGAAGTTTCCAGGGCGTGTTCATTGGATACTGTCGGTGTACTGGTCACTCTCTTACCTGAAATGGGAAACAAAAGTTGCCATGTTTAGGGTGGAAATAAAGTTATCTACATCGTGAGTGTAGCTTAATTTCATTGTGATTTCAATTTTGTAGCGGCACAGAAAATCTGCCCATCTGAACATTCATCCATCACCATCATCATCATAACCAATGCTGAGGAGCTTGGATCATTATCAGGAATATCAGAAAACATAGAACAATACACTACAGGCAATTTAGATGGTGCGGTTCACATAAACATTTCTTATGGTTATTATAATAATTGGGGGACTGACAGGATATCCAAAGAAACACACAGAGAATCTAAAAATCCACCGAATGTGTGAGGCTGTGGTGCTTAAGAGCTGTTGGAAGATGGTAAAAATCCTAGCGCCGTAAACAAGGCCTCACCGTAGAGTCTCTGGATACCGCTCACATCATCTGGGTGCAGCTGGAAGTTGTCACGGTAACCGCTGTACAAAGGCCCCATCAGGGCGCTCCTCAGTTGTGAGTGGCCCAGCCCCAGGGCGTGGCCAATCTCATGCGCAGCAATGATCCGCAGGTTGGCACCGTAGTACTTGCCCTCGGTCCAGTACTCATCCTCATCAAAGTGCACAATTCCTGACTCTGGAGCCTCCGCATGGGCTAAAACACGACCTGAGTGGAAGGAGGAAAAGGGATCCGTTTGATTCTGAAAGACACGACAGGTCCAAGGAAGGCCAATCAAGCTGCAGTGTGAAAGCTGTGGTTAAAACATCCCCCAATGCCGAAGCCCACCGACCTGGCCCGTCAAAGGGCACGGTACAGGTGCCGTCCTTCTTATGGAATGAGATCTTGATGTCAGCCCGCCCACTGTACACTTCCTGGAAGACCAGAGGGGTCACATCACTCCAGTACTTGAAGGCCAGGCGGATGGCCTCGCGCGTTTTTTGCAGGCCCAGATCAGGAGTGTAGTTGTAGATCCGGTAAGTGAGGCTCTTCTTGCGCCAAAAGCCTGGAAGGAAAAAAAAACAGATGCGCATGTTGTTGTCGGAGATGCGGCATGGGCTTAAATGAGTGGTACATTCACGAAAAAGTGGATCTAGATAGAATCACTATTAGATTATCTGTCCCCATGCCAAAGGGGCTCTCACCCATTATTCTGTATTTGAACGACTTCGGATTGAATGGGTCTTCCACACCACAGCGTGGCTGTTTCATCATATCTAAGGTGGCCTTGTCAATCTTTCCTGTGATGGGCAGACTGGTCACCTTCTGGAAGATTCTGATAAGTAGCGGGGAGAGCAAAAAGTTAGGGGGGTAAATTTGTGAATATATCTGAGTGAATTGCTGGATTTCTGCCTTTGAAATGATGGTTTGTTCTGCATCTGGATTTTTTCCCCCTGCGTATCCCAGCTTGCTCTCCAAACCTGGAGTACTGTACAAGTGCAGGGTCAGGCCATTCATCCAGGTCCCTTGGGTCATGCTGGGGGGTGAAAGGCTCTGCTCAAGGGCTTAATAGAGGTGTATCTGTTCTGCCGAGGCCGGGGCTCAAACCAGCGACCATCCAATCACAGAGCCAGATTATTTATTAGTCAAATTGTCAAGTGAACTGTAAATCCTAGGGTACTTAGAAGGAATGAGGCCATGGTATGGTGAACACTCCTCTGAAACATTGTGTTGCTAAGATTCAAGTGAGAAACCCGGTCTTTCTTACCTGAGGGCCTCTGCGATGTCCTCCTTTCCCTGGTACCCTGGACTGTTTGGATCTAGCGGAGTGTGGAGGTACCCATACTTCTTCAAATATGCCTGGAGAAGAAGACAACGAGACAATAACCTCTGTAACTGGCATCTTCATGAGATCTCTGCTGTCTATAGAATGGAAACCCACCACTACTCTCCGCATGTGTTCTAACTAGAACATGTCTATCTAACCCACTCTATTTTACTACCACAATCCAGGCATATTTACCCACAAGCTCGTCAGCAATTGTCTTTGATCAAGGTTATTGTTTGCTTCTAGTTGTATGATCTGAGTTCTTATACCAGTTTAGCGTAGCCCTAATTGTCTTTATAAATGTAACGTACATATCATCAAACAACATTTAGAAATATTTCACGTTGACAGCAGCATGGTACCTGACTGGTTCTTGTTAAGTCACGTACTTGTATCAAGGGCGTAACTTTGGCTGGAACATTGGGGGGGTTGAGGTCTCCACCCATTACGGGGGAAACATCATTATTGGGGGGGGGGGCTACAACCTCCCATCCCCCCCGTAATTTACACCCATGACCTGTATCTATGCTATTTGTTTTTTAAACACTAATTCAATACAATACAAAACATAATGCCCCGAAAACCCCAAACCTATGGATTGGGTTTTGTGACAATATTCAATAAATAACTACGTAATGTAAATTATTATAAAGTGTCACTTAAATGACTATTTAAACAATAATTTAAACTGCTTTTTAAACGATTGTTTAAATGACAATTTAAATGATACCAGCAGCCCTTAAAACTTCTGTCAGTCACCCATCAAACTCAGTGGGCGGGCTCTAAACAAAACTTAACATCTGATTGGTTACATTGCAAACTAAGTCACACAGATCGATCTCGCCTAGTCGATTGAATTCTTATTCCTAACCGCATTTTGAGTGTAAATTATAATTTAAATGACATTTATAAATAATAATTTAAATGACATTTATAAATAATAATTTAAATGACATATTTATTAATTAAATGTTGTCACAAAACACCCTCCATAGAAACCGGCGCGATTTTGTTGCAGCATATGGCGGTAAGTACACCAGCTTTTTTAGGAGAACCCTTCTGAAGTTTTCTGTAACTATGTAACTAGAACAATGTAACTAGGTGCTTCGATCAGCCGACGTGCATTAGTTTTATGCATTTGGATTCCAGTAAATAGGCTACAGCTGTAACGGTGCTGTTTGTCAGGAATGGAATGTTAACCAGCTGTCTTCTCCTGTGTTTGTACTTAATTGTTCATAGAGATAAAGACCATTCTTATCCGCGGGAAATCACCACTAGGGGCCAAATACAGATGTTATTTTTTTTGGCTGCAACAATAACCATTGTTTCACTAGAAGTTTTGCAAATAGTTAAAACAGAGTACGCCAGACTTCAAAGTCAATATTCTTTCGGAAATATCGATGTTGGTAAGTGGTGTCTTGGAAATGGTGTACTCGTTTTAAATCCGTATTTCAAAAGTGATTATGCTTTAAAAAACGGCAGATGTGTAGCCAATTACTTGCCTTTTTAGAGCTGAAAGAACATAAAACAATTCCAGAAAAAAAAATCCACTATGTAATCACTGAATAAATACAAAAACTACCAAAAAAGTACCAGTCATGCAGAAACGCATGAGGTGCGTACACCATGTGTTTGTATATATGACAATTTAAGTTTCAAAATGTTTGAATCTTACCATTGCTTCGGTCACTTCATTTCTCCTGTCCATAACGCCGGACATCACGCAGAGAGCGACAGTCGAGAGCACTGTCACCTGTAGTATGAAGCCCATTTTTGTTGCTTTTTCAGAACTGGCAGTTCAGCGTTTTGCTCATGTACAGAGAGAATACTTTTTTGTATCACTTGTCTTGTAAGCGTAATAAATCTTTGTGCATGGATCGTAAAGAATAGTAAAAGGTAAAATTTGCTTTTGGATGTGCCTTTTTTCTAGCTGTTATTTTATTTATGCATAACCTCCTCATTAAGCCTTTATCTCTTTCTCTCCGAAACTGAGTTTCTTCTCAAGTTTATAGCATGGGCTCCGAGTGAGTCAGACTTCCTACCCCCACACTATTGAGCCATCCCCAAGGAATGCAATCTGGGTCTGCTCTAAGCGCAGCATGCAGCCAATAAGTGCTGCACTCAACAAATCTTTTTTTCTCTTCCTAAAGTCCCATGAATTCTAACATACTTGTTTCCCAGGCATGGAGTGGTATCACATGAGGAAGATTATATTTTAGTCTTCCCTTTTGAGGGAATATATTAGTATCCTGATAGAGGTCAAATTATATTACAAATATCCATCTTTACAACTATCAATCTTCTGCAACAACCTATCTCATGTATGGTTCTGGCATATTATCCATATTCATCCATCCATACATTCATACATCCCTTCATTCATCTTCCAGCTGATTATCCTGAGCAGGCTTGTACGGGAGTAGACCTGTATATCGCTGAGAAACATTGTTGTGTTTGAATTGCCTTTTTACAGGCTTACCCAATGCTAAACTTGTACAAGTTGAAATAATATTTATTTATTTTAAATGTGATGTACTCTATGGTTAAGTTTTGTTAAACATTGAATTTTATAAATTCTGTGGACACAACCAACAAAAGCACTCAAATAAAGTGTTTGGAGCATTAAAATCACCATTTACTCATAAGCAGAAAACCTTTTCTTATTTAGACATTTTAATTTTGTTTTTTCCAAAGGTACCTTGCTCAAGAGTAGGATGTTAGGAACTTTCCTTGGATTTGATCTAACAACCTTCAGGTTAGAAATCAGAGTCCTTAGCTACTATTGGCTATTTTGGATGTGGGTAGCTGCTTATGTGTCACTGGTAATTCAGATTTATGCTGCACGTTTGTTGTGGAAGATGTTCTCGTAAACACACTCACAGGAAGTATCCTCTACAAACGAGATCGTTACTGTGATCTTGTCATTTATTAAAGGAAAACAAAACCTTCCATTGATTAGTTTCTGTTCAGGTAATCCTCAGTACAGGTGCCCTGCAAGGCTGCTGCCTGACTTCATAGCTATTTTCATTAAACTCACATGACTACAACTTCATGATTATGATGATGGCTTAGTCCATACCTTAATGACAGCTGGTTAGTAACCTTACTGTCTACGGGGAGGAAAGAAATCTTGTCTAAAAGCATCCCCCACTACCCACATCCAAAATCTCTGAGGTGGAGCATATTCCCTCCTAAATGATCCTAGGTGTCACGAGCTGTGGGTAGTGACCGAAAGAACGAGAAAGAACGGCCGAAATGAGTTTTCTCCGCAGGGTGGCTGGGCTCTCCCTTAGAGACAGGGTGAGGAGCTCGGTCATTCGGGAGAGACTCAGAGTAGAGCCCCGGGGAAGACCCAGGACACGCTGTAGGGACTATGTCTCTCGGCTGGCCTGGGAACGCCTCGGGATCCCCCCAGAGGAGCTGGAGGAAGTGGCCGGGGAGAGGGAAGTCTGAGTTTCCCTGCTGAGACTGCTGCCCCCGCGACCCGACCTCGGATAAGTGGAAGTAAATGGATGGATGGATGGATGATCCTAGGCTTACGCATTTTAAACTGCCTCAACAAATACCACCAACAGTTCTTCCCATCTTTAGTTAGACTGGTTGTGAAGGGCATAAAGACTGGGGTAATATATCCCAAACCCATAGCCTATGTAATAATGTCAATAATTTCAGAGGCTTCTTATGCCTGTGAATGATCCCTATGTCCAATGGTGTAATTGACTTGAGCAAATCACACACTTTTTAGCACAACTCCCCTTACTTGTAAAAAAGCACCATATAGATACATAAATTCTGGTACTGTGCTTATTTTCCCTATTGCACCTATATACTTTATTTAGCAGATGCCTTTTTACAAAGAAAGCGGGGTCAGACAGTCCCTGGAGTAACGGTGAGTAAAGGGTCTTACTCAAGGGTCCACTGGTGAAGACATTTCACAGACCTTGGGATTTGAACTGGTGACCTTCTGATCCAAAGTATAGGGTCCTAACCTGCTGGGGCACACAATGCCCCTGTAGTCTGTGGTTGTTTGCTTTTATATTTCTTGTGTTTGTGTCATGAGTCCTGTACATAATGAATTAAGTTATTTCCCCACTCTTCAAACCCTCATTACTTCTTCATCCTAGGATCTCCAGAGACAGTTTAATGTTTTAAGTTGCATAATGTTCTAATACAAACACATCCTTGTGAATCAGATTCCTCTATGCTTGTGTGGGACTGCTCACTTGTTTGTTTTTCCCGCATTGTACTACTTAATATTTTGACTGTTACCACAAAGCTGTTCTACTGTATTTAGGCTGTATCTTTCAGACCCTTGTTATAGTCCTCCTCCAGTTTCACAGTTTTTCTTTGAAATGATCAGCAAAGTTAGATAAAGGAAGCTTTGATGGTGCACTGTCTTTCATTGCTGAAGTGAGTGCAAAGTTCACCCTATCATTTTGTAGACAGGGATGATGTTGCCTTTGCTGTTGAATAGACATCATCATCATCAGTGCATGACTATGCATTCACTGTATTATCGTATTACCATATGAAGAGAAATGACAGAAAACCAGTAAATGACACCTCATAACTTGTGAGAAAGCAATCCATGGTGGGGACTTGTGATGGGAGTTTTAGTCAGAACTGCACTATACCCTAGAAGTCACAAAGAAAGATCTAAAAATACATCAGTCACAGGCAGCATGTGAAATTTCACAGATGCACTAGAATCACAAAGCTTCTGCAACAGGTCTCTGAAAATCTGAACTCAGGGTCTGCACCTTTTTTGTTGGCAATCAAAAGCATTTGCCCCTTAATGTGTATATAGGTTGATTACACATAATCCTTTCTTGACATACGTTAGCCAAAGAACCAGCCTTACTTCTGGCAGGGACCTTGTTCCAATGGTCAGGTAAATTTGCTTAATTTTTTTTCTAACACTACTCTTTAGATCATTAAGCTGACGTCCTGAACATGTTCTTTATTTAGGAAATTCCCATATGAATCTATACTTTCTATACGTCTTTCGTATCCCTTGGGTGATTAAGAAATATATCTTAAGTAATGCTAACGTCCACTATTTTCTTCCTGGACACATGACTAAAAGGAAATGAGTCATGCATGATTTTTTTGGAATCACTTCCAGTTCACATTTTTTTTTCCTTATTTATGGTCCCATCCCAGCAATCAATATATTAGTATCCTGATAGAGGCCAATGCTTACACAGCTCACCCCAGTGCAGGTTAACATGCAGGTCTATGAATTGGAAACAGGAGGATAAGCTGATGTTCCCAAAGTCAAACATGAAGCTAAAATTAGCAGAACTGGACACGGACAAGGGCCTTTGGAGCTATTCTGCAATGTCAGGGATTATTGACGTTCAAATAAGGTAACCGTGGACGGCCTTGATGACGGTTGCCAATGTAAACAGCCCAGTGTGTTTGATTTTGGTCCATCTCATGTGGCTTCCCGCTGTGTATTATTTCGGTCCCACTTGGCAAAGGTTGGACAGCTCAGATTGGAAAACTCACCGGAGGGGATCATGCAGTGCACAGTGCACTGCATTGCGGTGTTTGTGGACAAGGCTGTTTGTTGACTCTGGGTGTGTCGAGCTAGAAGACACGGCAGAGAGCTTTCTGTCCCTGTGTCGTACCTGCATTGGAGCCAGAAGAAACGGCAACCCCACTTTCTAATCATCTTCTGCATGGCCGTTATCTTTATTTATTGCGGTCGCCTTCATTGGAAGCCCTGCCCTATGATTGTCAGTTACTTGCTCCAAAGTCAGGCCTGGCCTTTCCTGTGGACATCTAGGGAAAAATGAGCAAAGCTGTAACTAGGTTGCTAAGCAGAGAAAAAGAACAGCAATGCTCCTCTGAACACAATGCAGTCATCATCAACTTAACCTTTACCCTCCTGGTTGCTCAGGTTAAATCATCCCCCAGCCTCATATATCTCATTTTACATTCAAAATCACAAGCAAATCACATTCCAACATGATGGTAGGTTTTTACAAGTTTAGGGCTCATTTTTGAACTGTAGACATGATAAACAGTTGACTCTTATGTAGTCAAACATTTCAATTCTAGCCATTATAGAAGTTTCCAGATTTTACTTTAATTAATTAATTTTCCTGCAAACCTATTAATGTCATCATGCAAGTTACAATTATTTTATCATTTTACATGCAGCTATGTAACATAATTATCCCAATTAATGTGACCTTTCCCCATGCAACCATGGGCAATGTGTAAGTGGGATATTGTATAGGATATGGGATATTATATGGAACTGTATTACACTTAGGGAATGTAATTCCTAGAAAAATACTGTGAACATGTAAGAATAATGTAACCTTATAACCTTTAGGGAATGCATGCCAAATATTATTGCACATTGTGATCATATAAGTGTGTATTTGCACCCCATCCAGCTCTGCAGCTTATAACTATGTTGAAGGTAAATCCTGTAAATATAATTAACTCTGTAGCTAAGTAGTGTGTAGGGAACAGAAACTACAAAGGCTTATTACTGCAGAAACATCTGGGTTCTGAGCTCATTGCTTACCACCATAGTTACCCAGGTTCTGGGCTTATTGCCATATGTATATATAAAAATATTGTGGAAATGGTTTCGCCACAATAATGTTTCCCAGAGCAACTAAAAGATAAAATAAAGGGGCAGGTAATACGCAGAACCCCGAGGAAGAACATAATGGTGGCGAATGGTTGATGCTTAGAACGCCCTTTGTGATGAATCAGTTAAGAGATAAGAAAAATGTATAAGAATCTGTGCAAATCAGCATTAATCACACTTCTGCAGAGTGTCCAGCCTTGGTTGCAACGTACATGGATGGAATAAAGACTGAATCTGAAGATCTACACAAGCGGCTCTTGACTGCTGTAAATGAAAGGTTATCAGTTCAAATCCTGAAGTCAGCAGAGTGATGTCATCGCTGGGCCTTTGAATAAGGCCCTTAACTGTCAATAGCTCCAGGGACCATCTGTCCTTACTTTCTCAATTGTATGCTGCTTTATATAAAAGCACTTGCTGAAAGAATAAAGATAACCTCTGCAAAGA